GAAGCCGCCATTTTATTATCCTCGCATTAGCATTATTAGCATTAGCATTAGCCCAGCGCAGAAACGCAGAGAGACTAACTTATGGCAACACAAAAGAAAACATGGGAGCGGTGGAGATGAGGAGGTGTCGGCGTTCTGGCCGTTTACTCGGAAGGCTTCAGTCCCTAACTCCCGGGACTTCCGGCCGGGGACTTCGGGTGGCAGTATACGCCGTGAAGTGGTTTGCGGCCTGCCAGTAAACCCAAAGCAGAAGAAGAAGAAGAAGAAGAAGAAGTGACGTCAGCGGCTTCATTTGCCTAATCCTCCACCAGGAACTAATTTCCGGTGTGAACGCGATCTGTACTTAGTTCATGAGAACTAAAGAGTTCTCAGGAACCTTTGTGGGAAAAGTACTTGGTGTGAACGCGCCTTTTGAGATGCTTTTACAATAAGCACCATCATTTGGAATAAAAATAAATAACTATAGCCGTTCAACATAGTTTAAAGTTTTGGGTAATTCACATGTGCTGCTGAGACATTTCCCCTTTGTTTGCAGTCTTTATGCTAAGCTGAGCTAATCGACTGGAGGCACTGATTCTGAAGAACATGTGTGATGTTTAAACATTATGCCTAAACTTATTACTAAGTATGTTCAAGACTAAAGTTACCCCTTCTGTTTCGCTTACGTGTCGTTTGAATCCACAGGGGAATATCAATGAAAATCCTGTCTTTTGAATAAAGCTTATGGCTAGATTTCCTGTCATTATTTGAATTTAAAATGCAGCCTTAATAGCGTCTCAGTAGCAGCAGACACAGCACCCTACTGTGAGCGCTGTCTCTTTCTAAAAGTCTCTATCAGAGGCATTCAACGTGACTTCACCCGCACAGCTGCACCATAGAGAAGACTTTCGCTCCTCTTCCTCAAAATGCAACGGATGCACTGCAGTCCGTCTATCTCCTCCTCCTGGTTATCTAAATACTCCCAATTGACCCAAAAACGCAGAATGAGCCCCGTCAATACAGGGCTTTCATCTCGGTCCGGTGGAGACACAGGGCTGCTCTGTTGTGCTTTTGGTCGGGGGTTAACAGGACCTTTGAGCTGAACAGGCTCCAGTACATACAGAACTCAGCTGCCAGGGTTCTCACACGCACCAAGTCCTGGGAGCACATCACCCCCACTCTATTCAACCTCCACTGGCTCCCGGTCAAGTCCCGCATCACCTACAAACTCCTCCTCCTCACCTACAAATCCCTCCATGCCCTCTCCCCTCAGTACCTCACAGATCTCCTCCACCCATACATCCCGTCCCGCACCCTTCGATCCTCAGACTCCGGCCTGCTCTCCATTCCCCATTCACGCCTCCGTATCTTTGGGGGCCGTGCCTTCAGTGTCGCTGCCCCCACTCTCTGGAACTCCCTCCCTGCAGAAATCCGCAACGCCCCTTCTCTCAACATTTTCAAATCAACCCTTAAAACTCATCTGTTCAACATCGCCTTCCAACAATAACTCACTCCCCCCCCCCCCCCCCCCCCCCCCCCCACTTACACTTCCATTTCTGCCCCCTGTTTTATGTTTATGTTTTTTATGTCTTGTCCTTGTATGTTTGTTTGTAAAGTGACCTTGAGGTTATGAAAGGCGCTATATACATTCAAGTTATTATTATTATTATTATTAAGTCGACCGTCTCCAGGAAATTGACCGAAGACGAGTCTCGCCCCCTGAGAGGAAGAGTTGTCTACAGATTATTCAAAATGTGTGGAGGAGGGATTGAATCGGTGCTGTCACGGGGAGTCCTCTGTGGAGCTGTGATTGATTTGACAGAAAACTCATTGCAAATGACATCACTTTAATTATCATTTGTGGACTTTTGGTGCAATCTTTTGCTTTCCGGCAGAATTGAAGCTTGTATGGAAGCACAGACGATGAGCTAATCCTCCATACTATGTTTTATATCTTGGATTTGAAAAATGCATTGCTTCCTTTTTGGGTCTTCTGAGTCACTGAGCTATGACCTGTCCTTTTTTTTAATCGAGGAAAAAGTGCAGTAAGCCGGGGTCGTGCTGTTAAGTATTTTTAAAAGCAGGGAGTTTTTTTGGCAGAATATCAAAGGCAGAATCCGAGGGACGACTGCGTCTCACATCAAGTCTTTTTTTGACCCCGAGCTGCTTCTCAATATGTGGTTAAATAATGTTATAAGCAGACAAACAGCTGGATGTCCTGCAGAGACAACAGCCACTAAAACTCTTTAAGAGGAACTCCATTTAATAATCCAGTTGTAGTTATTGCTTCGCTGTCAGGCTGCTTCTCTGTGTGTGTTTCTATGTTGCTAATGATTCAAAATGCGTCCTCTGATTATGCTCTGTGCTCCTGAAGGTTTTGCTCGTATATATGTGTCTCTCAGTAGATGTAAACCAAACAAAACATAATGAGATTGGGTGTTTTTTAGTCTGTCTGCGTCATTTGCATATTGGCAGAAACAAACAAAACATTACCAGACCTCTCCGGTTTGCATTTTAATGTTACCCTTTGAAACGCTGTCCTATATTTATATGCAGGTGTTTTTACAATGAGGAGAAATGCATCTTTGTTTTTGTTTCTTAGCTCAAGGGGAAACTCATTTTCTCCATGTTGTGTTTTGGCAATACCTGTCAGTTTCTGTTATTCCTCCTTCCTGTCTATCTTTAGATTACCTGGAGTTAAACTCGGGTAAACATTCAGTGCGAATATCACCTAATGTCTTCTTTCAGTCTTTATTTCGAACAGATTAAAAAATAACAAATGTGAAAAACAGAATACCGTATTTATCCACATTCATGGTAATATTTGTATATTCAACAAAAAAAAGTCTTCATATTAATAATAATAATAAATCATGTGTGTCTATATTCTCACCCCTTACTTGATCAATGATTGTCCTTTAAATCATTATGCAAGTTATTCCTACATACATTTACATTTATACATACATACAATCATGTCTCATCTTCAATCACCTTCTTCATTCTCATAGTTTTCCAAAAAAGTGTTTCTGTACATCCTTTTAAACTGAATGATGCTTGTGCTTTGTTTGAACTCCTGCTCCAAACCATTCCATAAAGTCACCCCACAGATTGTTAAACTCATACTTCTCAGAGTTGTTCTGACCTTGAGATGTTTAAAATGTAGATTTCCTCTCAGATGATTCCCACCCTCTCTGTCTACGAACAATGTTTTTAATGTCCTAGGAAGTAGATTATGTCTGGCTCTGTACATGATTTGCGCCGTTTTAAATTTAACCAGATCAATGAACTTCAATATGTGTGACTTCAAAAATAATACATTAGTGTGTTCAAGATATCCAACATTATTGATAACTCTTATAGCCCTTTTTTGTAATGTGCATAACGGCTGTAGGTTGGTTTTGTACGTGTTTCCCCAAATCTCCACACAGTAAATCAGATATGGCAATATTAGTGTGTTATATAGAGTATGCATTAGGCGCATTCACACTGCGGTACTTTTCCCAAAGGTTCATGTGAACTTAGTTCATGTGAACTCTTTAGTTCGCATGAACTAAGTACAGATCGCGTTCACACTGGAAAAAGTCCCTGGGGGTGGATTAGTCAAATGAAGCCACTGACGTCACTTCTTCTTCTGCTGCTTTCGGTTTACTGGCAGGCCGCAAACCACTTCACGGCGTATACTGCCACCCGGAGTCCCCGGCCGGAAGTCCCCGGAGTTAGGGACTGGCTTCAGTAGAAGCTGCTGGGACTCCCAGCAGCTTCTACTGAAGCCTTCCGAGTAAATCGCCAGAACGCCGACACCTCCTCATCTCCACCACTCCCATGTTTTATTTTGTGTTGCCATAAGTTAGTCTCTCTGCGTTTCTGCGCTGGGCTAATGCTAATGCTAATAATGCTAATGCGAGGATAATAAAATGGCGGCTTCACAAAACTTTTTGGGAGGTTTGCGGGGCGTGGTTTGCAATCCTTCCAGCCAATCAGAAATATAGCTCTTTTCTCACAAGAGAGTCGCTCGAAAGTCCCTGCTCTCTAGCAGGGACTTTCGAGGGGGTAAAAAGGTTCACATGAACACATTTTAGTACCGGCCCTTTTTGGTGTGAACGCGATAAAAGAGTTCACATGAACTAAGTTCACATGAACCTTTGTGGGAAAAGTACCGCAGTGTGAAAGCGCCTAATGAGTTATAGTCCAGAATGTGTCTGGCTTTTCCCAATATTGCGATAGTTTTAGCCAGTTTTGCTTTTACATGAGTGATATGAGGTTTCCAGCTGATTCATTAATTTGTATTTGTTCCGTTCATGGTGTGCACAACTTAATGTATAACAATTATTTACAAAACCGTACCCGAAAAGGAGCAGGGAGAAGAAAATAATCTTATATTACCTGCCCCTTTCTCCAAAAAGTCTGTCCTTCATATTTTCTTATTCACAGCCAATCATAACAGTGCTGTAGGAAAATAAGAGAAACACAACAACTTAGAAAAAGAAAATACTTAGTTCCCACTTGACAGTTAACGGAAAGAAACAAAACACCAAAATGATCACCTGCATGTGTGAGTTTCCCCTTGTTCGAAAAATATCCCTCGTCCCCGGCTTGAGCTTCAATCTCAGGATCCATGTATCTGTGATCCTCTCCAGAATGGAAGTAGTCATCACATACAGAGCATCAACTAGTTCCTGAACAGTGTCCTTCACATGCTGATATCCAAGAGAGGGAGTTACACAGTCACAAGATGGAGGAATAGAAAGCAGTATTCAATGTTTACTTCAGATTAGCTCCACGTCAGAAATGAGCATGCTTGATGTCTCTCTCCATAGAGGCTGAATCATCATGTTAATCACATAGCTATCATCTGCCTCAAACAGTCCTGATGCTCTTCTAGGTAATCACACATCCTGTCATGTTCACAGCTACAGTTGGGATACCTTTGTTATCATGTTACTCTCATATTGTTCAGGATTTCCCCCTAAATGGCACTTTCTACCCCTCTCCTCACCCTCTTTTTCTCTGTGTTGCAGCTGACAAATTTGACGGAGATCCACGATCAGATCAGCGGGATGGCTCGGTGTCCGTACAACCCGCTGCACAACTCCACCGCGCTCATCACCTCCAGCGGGGAACTCTACGCCGCCACCGCCATGGACTTCTCCGGGCGAGACCCTGCCATCTACCGCAGCCTGGGGGGTCTTCCTCCTCTACGCACCGCCCAGTACAACTCCAAGTGGCTCAATGGTAAGGGACTGTCCAATGTGTATGTTTAAGCATCTCACTTTCAGCTGGTCTGCTCTTGATATTAATGAAACTGATCTATTAGTCACTACTGTCTATCAAATTGTAATGATTGTATGTATTACTTCATGAATGTTACTTAACAAACTGGTTTGTCCTTTGTTCATGTATGTCTGTAAGACGTTGCTTTTGTCGGGACTCCCTCGACAAAAAGCAACATGCAAGGGGTTTATCCTTTCTATGTATAGAGTCCAGATATAGTAGAGATACCCCGTGCAGCAGTGCTTCTCTCCTAGTAGCAGCACCATGACATAAAAAATAAGTAAACTGAGCATTTCTCATCAATATCCTAGAGTTCGCTGGTATTCTGATACAAGAGAGATGTCTTTTTATGTAAATGTGTGTCAAAAACGTACAGAAAAACTGATATCTTACAAGTAGGCCAGATATATAAATAGACATGTTGTCGGAATATGTGCTTCTCTCCTGGGTGCAGGGTAACCCACAGTAAACCAAAATACATCAAAATAGCAGCTTAAACACTACTAGACACTTAACTACAAAAACTATGTGTTTTGAAGAATACATTGATACCAGCACACGTAAAAAACAATAGAGCAAACTTGCTGATTTGCATGTTGTTTAATCAGATTTCCTTTGTGTGCTTTAAATAATCTTAAATATACTTTAAAGTCACAATTAACACACAGCGCCCCGCAAGTTTGACCACATCACACCAATTCTGGCTTCGCTCCACTGGCTTCCTGTCCATTTTAGAGTCCATTTTAAGATTTGTTTGTTTTTAAATCTCTTAATGGGCTGGCCCCAGAGTACATCTCAGACCTCTTACAGGTGTACACCCCCTCAAGGGCTTTGAGGTCGGCTGATCAGCTGCGGCTGGTAGTCCCAAAAACTAGGAAAAAGACCAGGGGAGATCGAGCGTTCTCATCGGTAGCCCCCAGGCTCTGGAACGACCTACCCCCTCATGTCAAATTGTCGCCCACTCTTGAAGCTTTTAAGTCCCGCCTAAAGACCCACCTCTTTTCCCTCGCTTACCAGTCAGTCTATGTCATACCTATTTGTATGCTTTTACTGTCTGTCCATAGCCTTTATGTGCCTTGCATTTATTCTTATGTGTGCTTTTATCTTTTCTTATGTGTGCTTTTATCTTTTCTTATGTGTGCCTTTTATCTATTCGTGTAATATTATATTGTATTATAATGTTATGTTCATTGTGAAGCACTTTGGCAAACCCTCTGTTTTTAAACTGTGCTATATAAATAAAGTGGATTGGATTGGATACACACCTAACAATTCAAACAGCAGTGGAAGAAGAACTCAAACCTAGAAAAACTCTAGTCTGTCATTCAAAATGTTACTAAAGTAAAAGTGTATGTACTTATAGTCGTTCTCGTGCACCGCTGAGAATACAATAATGCATTTCCATTACGCTGTATTAATTATAATGTCCTACAACAGAGTACATATGTTCATAAGATAACACAGGCTTCCAACATATAGGATTAATGATAATGTAATTAATAAATACCATGAAGTAGATTTGTATGTCACAGCTCACAGCTCTTGAACTTGAGCCCTGCAGCTTTTGGTGATTCATAGTTTTGCTCAATATTTAATCATGGTAGATGTTTGTCTAACACGGGAGTAAGAGAACACCCTCTCTCTCTCTTTCTTCTGTAGCATCTTACCCGTTCAAACTATTTCTAACGTTTCTAAGCAACTAGCAAATCTTTATATTTACTCCAGCTTTTTCTTTGAGGATTGTGAATTCGTCAGAAATCGATGTCTCCTCTCGCTGAAAGGTTCAGACTGGAGAACTTCAGGGTGTCCAGCGGTTCAATCAGTGTGTTGTTGTCAGCAAGTGACTTTAATCTGATTCACATTTAAGCTAAATTGGAAAACTAAATTAAAAGCCACCACATGCATCGCATCTCAGCAACCTTCTGGGAAAAGGTTTTCTGAATTGTATGGTGAATTGATTTTTCTCCCTTCTGTCTCCCCCATTCACTGCCCTCCGAAGGTGCAGAGGAGAAATGAGGAGAGGGGGGGGACGACGACACACTTTCATTTAATGGAGAATTAAATCACTGTCAGAGAGAATAAAGTGTGCGGTTTACATCCAATAATGTCATACATAAAGATGGAGACGATGTGGTGGAGCTGGCGTGTTTCAGAGCTATTATGCTACACCTGTTTCGGTCATTTATCATCCTAACCTTTAGGATTGGGGAGTGAGCAATGAGTTTTCTTATTACGGCACAATGTCATTAATAACATGGCCTGTGGTTATTAATCCTGATCACCTGCTGTGGTGTGGGGGCCTCTCACACACACTCACACACACACACACACACACACACACACACACACACACACACACACACACACACACACACACACACACACACACACACATACCATGTATACATCACTTCAGGGGACATTACATAGACTTACATGCATTTCCTGGAGACTTATCCTAACCTTAACCATAACCAACACATGCCTAACCCTAACCATAACCCTAATCCTAAACCTAACCAAGTCTTCACCCTAAAATTAATGATTCCCCTTATGGGGACCTCCAATTTGTCCCCATAAGGGAGGTGAGTCCCCACACGTGACTGTGTAAACAGATTTAAGTCCCCACAAGTATAGTAATGCTAGACCACACACACACACACACACACACACACACACACACACACACACACACACACACACACACACACACACACACACACACACACACACACACTGTGAGTCAATCAGTCATTGCACCCCCTCTGAGCATTAAATAATGTTTCTTCTTCCTTTCTCTACTCTTAATTTTTCGTGACCTCTCCTCAGTTTTTCTATCTCGTTTTATTATTCCCTATGTTTGTCCTCATGGGATCTACATTGTATGGTGTTTTATGTTATTGTTGTATTGTATTTTTAATGTATTTGTTTGTATATTACACTCTGTCATTTTCATAATGTTCCTGTAATTGTATTTATCTTTTTAACAGTAACCTAAAACACTGTTATAAAACGAGTCCAATCCACATTAAAGATCATATTTAGATGAACAGATAGTTATTAAGCAGGTTGTTAAATGTTATAATGCCACATAAGATATATTTATTTTAGTTTTTTAAGCATAATTAGAGCAAGGAAGCTTTAAACATAACATTGGATCTGTGTAATCCAAGCTATAAAATATTGACGGTCCCTAAGTGAAACAAAAAAAGGCATTTTAATTATTATTTCGAGTCTCAAATGTATGCCGAATTCAAGAAGGAACCATGTTAACTAATACAATATATTTAGTTATATTGTAATATGTGTGTGATTTTGTTAAAACCAATTATAATCTTAAATTTAAACTTTGATTTGATGTTTTCTCCCACCGCAGAACCCAACTTCGTGTCCTCCTACGATATCGGCAACTTCACGTACTTCTTCTTCCGTGAGAACGCGGTGGAGCACGACTGCGGCCGGACGGTGTTTTCCCGCGCAGGAAGAGTTTGTAAGAACGATATTGGCGGACGCTTCCTGCTGGAGGACACGTGGACGACCTTCATGAAGGCTCGACTGAACTGCTCTCGACCCGGAGAAATCCCCTTCAACTACAACGAGCTGCAGGGAACCTTTTACCTGCCGGAGCTCGAGCTGCTGTACGGCATCTTCACCACCAACGTGTGAGTTACAAAAGCTCAATCAGTTCAATTTAAAGTGCAATCATTAGACAGGATGAGGATAAGTGCGTTGTGACACACTGAAAAGCCACGATAGGGGCTAGACAATAAACAGGTAGCATTCATAACTTCTTTTACTTACATATCCAGAATTGGAGAGTTTGTGTATTAAACAGAAAAAACAACACTAACTACATACCCTGAAACTAATCTGCTTAATGATCCCAAAACATGAATTATATTTATATATATATATATATATACAGCTCTATATATTAATAATTGTTTTTTCAAATAGTAATGATGTTAAAAAGCTAGATATATGCAAAGAGCAAAGGGATAGTATAAATAAAATGCATTTCAGAGTAAATTAAACTTGCGAAAGCCCCTGTCACACTGTCCCGAAATTGAAACCAGATGGACACACGAATATGGAATTGTGAATTCGGCACGAAGATGGTCCCGAACCACAACATTTAATTTTCTATTACATTTAAGACTGCAACGAAAGTAACAAAAACAATTATGTTAAAGTACTATGATACTGTACTGATATTTTCAGACTTTCTTCTTTACTTTCTCCGTCTTTATATGTAGAAGATATTAAGTTTTCTCCGTCATGTTGTTTCCATAGCAACAACAACTTCCTGTCAACTCGCCTTCAAAATAAAAACATCTAAATAAAAACAGGAAGTTAACCTAAATTACATTTAAGACATACAACTGCAACGAAAGTAACAAAAACAATGTAATATCCTTTTCAGTTTCACAGAACACAAATTGGGTTATTTACATAATATGTTTACATGATTTTGTTCAAAAACAACCAGATGGACACACGATAAAGGAAATGTTCAAATTCGGGCATTTTTCGCCCCGATGGAACCGATGATTAGACGAAGATGACACGATTTGATAAGATGCCCTCACGGGTGCCTTACGAGGAGCAAAATGGACACACAAATTCAACACGAAAATGAACCTTCTCAAGGTCCTTCGGCAACTTTTTGGCATGCCAAAGATTTTGCCACCGCTCGCGAAGTTGCTGCCGGAGCCTGAGAAACTCCACCGGCGGTCATACGAGGGCTTAAGATGCCCTCACGAATGGTCCGATGTTGTTACGATCAGAGCCGAATTTGAACATTTCCTTTATCGTGTGTCCATCTGGTGTCAATTTGGGGACAGTGTGACAGGGGCTTTAGGAGACATTTAGCGTATTGAAGATTTTACATTTATTTACCCAACAAATGCAAAGCAAAGAAAAACAATGACCACACACACTTCACTGTTGGAGTCCACTGACAAAATGTGTGACAATTCACCGTGTTTGTAATCAGCGTTGATGGTAAATGTAGTCGTTTGATGTCCTCCTTTTGTTGAATCCTCTAACATCTCCTTCTACAAAGTCCTTATTCTGTTCTGTTATTTGCACACACACCTCTTTGAAATGAATCCAGCCTTTGTGAATAATTAGATGAAGTCAATTATCGAGTCTTCAGATCCAAATAACACCCCAGTCAGTGTGTCTCTTTGTCTGAATGAAGCAAAAGGAGATTAGAGAGGAATCAGATGAAAACTTCTTTGTTGATTTTAATGCACCCGCAGAATAGCTTCATGTATAATTCACCGTGTTGTTGGCGCCACATTGTCAGCTGAGTAAACACAACGCACTTGGACTGCATTAACTAGACATGTGACCGACCTTTGTAGCTCGCTCACGCTGAGCATATGCAGTTGAGTGATATATGACAGCGATGTTTACATAAAGTACTTCTAAATTTGAATTTCCAGTAGAAAAAAATCCACCCATAGAAATTCAAACGTGACATTTAAATCCCATGAAAGAAACATATCATCACTTATTGATGTTGACACTGTGTCATGCACATTGGGGGAAAGAGATGGGATGCATCCATGGATGAAATGCAATATTTCTATTGTCACAAACACGCTTTTTTTTAACTTTCTCATTCCTACACTATTATTAAAAGCTGAGTAATCTATTCTTTATGGTCATTGCCTTCCCAAAAAGTCCTTTGACGGGTATTGGAAACATTCCCCCTGCAGGCACAGAGTTTAATGAACAGCCGCAGTGGATTATAATTCAGCGCGCCCAGTTTAAGTTGAGAGTTAATACTCTCATTTTTTACTTTCTCTTCGGACGGAGGACTTGTTGAAACTGACATCTTAAAAAGTCAAAGCTGTATTTCAGGCCTGAGACCTACAGTTCATCAGACGGCCCGGCAGCTTAATTGTGTCCTGTGGCTAGATTTATCATCCAATAATCACTTACGTCTGTCGGTCCGCCGTTTGATTTGTATTGTTGGGTGGGAATAAAACAAACACACAGAGAGTTATTTACTACTGCGTTGGTGTCATTTCCTAAATTCTTTCCATCCAATACTTCCCTCCTTCATCCATCATCCTCTCACTGTTTCGTCTCTTTTTGTTCTCCTGTATTCAGAAACAGCATTGCTGCGTCTGCGGTGTGTGCCTTCAATCTCAGCGCCATATCGCAGGTTTTCAACGGGCCCTTCAAGTACCAGGAGAACTCCCGCTCAGCGTGGCTGCCGTACCCCAACCCCAACCCCGACTTTCAGGTAACAAAACACACTGAAACACTGAAACGAGCTGAATCCAGATCAAAGGCACGCTGAAGGCTCTTGGAGCAGGTTTTCTCTCAGTGATCCTGCTGTTATGTTAAATGTTTGTTTTTCATGTATTGTGTCTTGATATCTGTCTGTTGATGTCACACATGGAGCTGATGTGATGTAAGTCACATTTCAGACTTGATCCGACCATTCAAGTATTATCGTATCGTACGAAGAGGGTCCATTTTACAAAAGGATTGCACAGCGTTTGCACCTGCTAAACCTGCACAAAAATACGTTTATGAAGTTCAGATTCTTAATGATCTTTTGTTCATGCTTGAGAGGATCTAAACCCAACACACTAAGCTTGCTATATAACTATTTTTTTATCTTTAATACTTTTTGTATGCATGCTTTTTTGGATGGCGCAGCGTTTGCAGCTCCTAAAGATAAGACAAAAAACAAATGGTGTGGTTTGAAAAGTTGTGCGGACATAAGAGGAGAGAAGATTTTTAAATGTTCTTCCACATATACTTTAGGCAATGTAAGGGGCGGATGAGTTTGAGGTCAGAGTAGATAATTACAAAGAACAAAAGAAACTATGCCAAGAAATGTTATTGATCGGTGCATGCATGATTTTTGGGTGGATGTTTCTTTTAGCTTATGGCAATGCACATCCATTTATCCTATATATGTACATTCAATGTTATTTTTCCTTATCATGCGAAAAAACCTTTCTTTTAATGTGTTAGTTAGCAGTTCTTAGTGCCAGCTATCTTTTAAAGTGTTAACAAAGTCTGCTTCGAAAAATAATGAAGACAAAATTGGGACTATTTGAAAAAGTGATCGGGAAACGTCTCCACCATCTCCAGTTGAAATGACACCTATTGTGCAGCTGGACGCATGCCTTAAGACAAGAATGCATGTGGTGTATGTGTATCCATCCTGCCTCTTCTTCTCATTCATGTCCTCTCCTTCAATCACCGCTCTCTCCGAACACATTTTCCACCGTTCGTTATAAATCCCGTTCTTTTTTACCGTGGTACAATCGTTCCTTTACGGTGTTTCATAGCCTCGTTATCTGAACTCCGGTCCCCTTTCTAATAAACTGTCCATGTTTCGCACAAGTGGCACTTTATGATTATGTTTTATGCCCTCAGTCTTAAAACTGAGAGCAGTGCCAGGTCCTTTTATTCAGATTGTAGTCACTGCTCTGCAGAGACACAGAGGGAATGTCTTATTAGCCCGAGTGCCTCTCAGTGTTAGCGCGCTTAGCAGATAGCAAGGGAGCTAATCCACGCCACTCTCCGTGAGGGATTGAATTCCCTCTGAGGTCTCGCTGCCAATCTGTGACACACGCCTCACTTCCACACATGTTTCCCATCACGGGCCCTCTGTCATGTTTCTGTCAACCCAGCAGCCCGCGGAAAATGCTATCGAGAAGTCACATACACATTATCTGTAATGACATGCAGGAGAAAGGGGATGCTGAAAAAGTGCTAGCTGTGACAAGAAAAAGCATGGATCTATGACTTAAAGGCGATCATATCTACGTGTCTGAAATCCTCCTACCTTCAAGAAAACCCATTCCTTCTATCTGCCCACATATTTATTCTGCTTAGCATACTGTAGGTACATCAAAGAGCAGTTTCTATATACCATAAGCTTTTATGAGGCTGTGTTCCTCAAGGATAAACCAGGATCAGTTCTCCCTCTCCATCCTCATCTCTCTCTTACGCTCCGGCACACTACCTGCCCCTCACCAGTGGACCGATACACACTTTATCTAGGTTTCAGTGACATCTTCATCAAGCATTTGTCAATGTTGGAGGATTAGATTTACGAGCACAGGATTTATGGCCTGCCTCGTTCTTTTTTTACCGCCCCTTTGTTCACACACACACAACTGAGGGAGACTATCACCTATAAAAGCCACATACATATCCTCTGTACACAAATACGCCCTCAAAAATAGGTGGTTGTTGATTGCTGTCAAATAGGGATAATTATCACCGTGAAGCCATGGCTCAACGCACACACTGCTCATTGATTGAGGACTTCATGCCCCAAAAACACCCCTGTATTTGAACCTCAGGGATTGATACTGGCTGTGAGTCATGTGCGTTGAGTTTAAGGAGCTGATACCGTCTCTGTGTTGTACGGGATTTCTGTCACACTGTAATTGCTTAGTTTACAAATGCATTCATCGTAGATGTCCATACAGAAACGATATGTCATGAACTTTTTAGAAAATCCTTGTTATTAATGATACTAATGGCCTTTAAGTGGCATTGATTCAGCATAGCTAGCTGGCCATTTTGTACATTATAATTCATTGAATTTTGACCAGACAAAGCAATAAATACAAATGTATAGTACCTGAAATGATACTGTAGGTTGCATTAGTTTGCAAATGAGTTTACCAGCTTACGTTACAGTACAACTAACGCCAGACCCATGCAGCAAAGCTTAAAAGTTAATGCCAGCTCGCCAACCGTAAATGATGTTATTTTACAATCCATAAAATATTTGCAATGTTTTAATAGTTACAGTCTATTGAAATATTGAGCCATTAATACTTGCACACTGCTGCATATAGTATGTTTTAGTTAGAGTCCAAGCCAAATGCTGCTGGAAAGTTTGATATATTTCAGATACAACAATCAAGAGCACTTTGTGCTTTTCTTGCAATGTTACGTATGATAATTTGGGGCCAACACTGATCAAATGTTACCTGAGATATTACCACGATGCTGACATTTGAAGTGACCTGAAAGCATTTTAAACAAAAGCCCATTTGGCAAAAAGCATGATGTAATACATATTTCTCTGAAGCACTTATCATCCTGGCGCAGGGTGCTGATGATGAGCGGGAGTGTTAGATGGGCCCTCAGCCAAATGGAGGTTCTGTCCCTCACCTTGACTGTTCTGAGGAAATCACCACATCTGTCTCTCTGTCCATTCACACATTTCATAAACCCTCGCTGGTCAGAGCATAGCTTTGTCTCCGTGTGACATAAATACAATCAGGCTCACACTTGGACACACACATGCACGCAATGCAAGGCCAAACCACGAAAGGAAACCTTAAACATATGTTATTATAAAACCCTCACCACACACACACCCGCTACATTTATCCCATAAGCAAGAGGCACATTTAAGGAGTGTTGCTTTCCCCTGTCCTTCAGGGCTTTAATTTCCCATCTCCTGATGTGGCGAGGGCGCTGATCCGTTGCCCATCTCAGGGAAGTCCACCATGATTCTCTTCTGTCAGCCCAGGGAAAGGCGAGGGATTGATCTGTTTAAAGTGTCCGTTTCTTCTGCAGCTAGTCAGCAGGAACTAATCTGCAGCCAAGGTCCAGTCTCAGCTTAGTGCGACGAGTCTGCGCTCGGTTAGCCCGGAGCAAAACAGTTCAAAACAAAAACAGTGCCAGTCGTTTGGGTTAGTGTAATTGTCGTGCACGGCTTATTTTAGTTTTCTCTGCTCTGTGTCTTGGAGACTGTTCTTTGTGGACGGGGCCTCGTTCACTGAGAAGGACACACATGATTAGCTGTAGTCATCCAGCTCTGCCTCAGCTGCTCTGGCTTTGTGGTGCACTTAGTCACATTCTACTTGTGGAAAATAGGCTCTGCATTCCCACGCTAAAAAGCATGACAAATGTCACAATTTGACATATTTCTCAGGCAATGCAATGCTTTTTAAAGGGTTTGAAGAAGTGAAGGATATATAAAACACACAAACCTTTCAGTACAAATTGTAACAGATTTTCCCTGGACCGCATGCTACAGACACAAGGGAATATTCCTTTCTGTTTTAGTATGCAGTGCTTCATCTTCATAATGCAGCCTTTCTCTGTAATCTTTGTAATGTTGGTCGGAAGCTCTTTCAGCTTGGAAAGCAATATTCAGATTTCCAAACACTCAATTACTATTTGTTTCACATATAAAAGAAATAACAACTAAATAAATTAACACTTTCTGTTGTTAAAAACCTCACCATCACAATAATACTCTTATTTCTCACCGTTAACTCCCACGTTGACACTGTTCTTTTTATTGCACTTCTTCTTATTAAATGAAATATCTAACATATTATATTACACATTATAAAAAGGTGCTTCCGCACGGACGCTGCTTCAGTAGAACAAACTCTACTGGGACTCAGAACGAGAACTTAGAGTCAACAAAACCTGATAAACCAAATGAATCTGTGTCGATGAAATCTACCTATTCACGTGAGATGTGTCTGTTCCTGCTGTAATCTCTTTCTTGTTCGAGCGATACGGCAGCATTTTCTGTAATAACATGAATAGCAATAATAAAGCTCTGAAGTTGAAAACATTTTTAAAGATATTAGATTGTAAAAATGAGCAATCGGAGGCTTTATTATTAGGGTACCAACAAAACTCACCAGCAATATATATGCATATGAGGAAGAATCTAATAAAAGAGATAACTACTTGCTCAGTTAAACACTCATTCAGTCTTCTTGACTGCAGTCTTAAAGTCGTGAGGATAGAAAACTATTACAATGATGCTGCAATCGACTTTATAGCCTCGTCCATTTAATCAGTCAATCCCTCTCTTTTCATATCTCTGGTGGCACAAACGTATTAACGTAGATTTTCTTCCCAAAGTGCTCTGAGCTTTTATTAATGCTTTCCTTCCTCTCTGTTTCCCCTTCACAGTGAGCAGAGGTGGGAAGTAGTGGAGTACAAATACTTCGTTACTGTACTTAAGTACATTTTTCTGGTGTCAGTACTTTACTCCATGACTTTCTACTTCTTACATGTTGAACTCAAATACCTGTACTTTCTACTTCTTACATGTTGAACTCAAATACCTGTACTTTCTACTTCTTACACTTTGAACTCAAATACCTGTACATTCTACTTCTTACATGTTGAACTCAAATACCTGTACTTTCTACTTCTTACATGTTGAACTCAAATACCTGTACTTTCTACTTCTTACATGTTGAACTCAAATACCTGTACTTTCTACTTCTTACATGTTGAACTCAAATACCTGTACTTTCTACTTCTTACATGTTGAACTCAAATACCTGTACTTTCTACTTCTCACATGTTGAACTCAAATACCTGTACTTTCTACTTCTTACATGTTGAACTCAAATACCTGTACTTTCTACTTCTCACATGTTGAACTCAAATACCTGTACTTTCTACTTCTTACATGTTGAACTCAAATACCTGTACTTTCTACTTCTTACATGTTGAACTCAAATACCTGTACTTTCTACTTCTCTCATTTTCCAAACAGCTGGTTCCTTTAGTCTGAATGTGTGTTTGATGCGTGATCATTATTCTTTAGAGTCATTGCGTGCCTATTGATTTGAACACGATCCGTGTATCCATCATTTCCTGGTCTTCTCTAAAGAAGAGGGACCAATGGAAACGTTGTCATGTTGCCGTTGTTCAGCATGGAAACATTCATTAGCTAACAATGACATTATTGTTCTATTAATATAAAGGGAGGTCAGGTACTCTTTAAAGCAGCTGCTAGTTATGGGTACTTTTTACTGAAGTACATTTCAAAGCCCTCTTTACTTTTACTTGAGTAAAGAAGTTTAGTCAGTACTTCTACTTTCACCAGAGTATTTTTAAACACAAGCATCTGTACTTCTCTGTAGTGCGGCACCATCGACTCCGGCTCCTACGTGAACCTGACGGAGAGGAACCTGCCGGACGCTCAGAAGTTCCTCCTGATGCACGAGGTGGTCCAACCCGTGGTTCCCGTGCCCTACTTCATGGAGGACAACGTGCGCTTCACTCATGTGGCGGTAGACGTGGTGCAGGGCAAGGACACGCTGCTCCACATCATATACCTGGCTACAGGTGGGTTTATAGTGTGTGTGCATGCATTGTGTTTGACTTAGACATTGAGACAGTATTTGTGTCTACATGCTGTACATATTTCTGTCTCTCTTTTGTATTAATTGCAATATTTTGTGTGTGATGGAAGTGCCAGCTGTGAATTTGTGACTTTTTATTAACCCTGAAAACACTTTCTAAGTTTGAGCAATGGCCTCCTAACTACCAAAGAAGTGTACATAGTTATAGACGTGTTGAAGCCTTAAACATTAGCATTTTGGTTGTGGCCATCTTAAAAATGACCATACTGTGGGGGAAACTTCTGTGCAGCAATGCAGTGGGAGTGACCGACTCAGGAAAGAGACACGGGAAGAGCAGGAGCTTTGATGTGAAACACTGATGGTTTATTTAGAGCTTCGGCCGGAGAATTCACATCACAAGTCAGAGCAGCCACGATCTGACTGCACGGGAGAGTTGCCACGTCAATTCTGGAGCGCCTCTCTCTCGTTAGCCCATTTAACTGGTTTCGCAGAGAGTAATCAACATATTTCAGAAGATAGCTTAAATAGTTGGGAACACTGAGTTACTTGCGTCTGACACTTATGGCCTCGAAGATTTCACACCTTGGAGTCCACAAACACAGAGAAGGAAGTGTCCAGTGTACCCACAACAATAAACCATCTGTGACCTAGGGTTGCCCGGTCACAGAATGGGAACAACAACATATGGCTGAAGCAGCCTATCTCCTTAAAGGAGATAACAGACGTCAGGGTTGGCCATGCACGTCATATCTAGGAGTCTAGGACAATTATTTCCCTAACACATACAGTATGTGGATAGAGTTTGGGAAGACTGAGACCCAGCTTGGCCAGGTACCGTTAGCAAAAAGTACACATACAGTAGTTCCTATATGAACATCATGCTGTTGACACAAGTGATAGATAATTTAATCATTCCAAAAATGGTAGCTAATGTAATAAATCAAGTGAGAATGATAGGGTCATTTTCTTATGGATTTATGCATACTTCTTTTTGCAGACGTAGGTTGTCCTTTGGGTCCCACATTATGTCCTATTTTGCTTATCTCACACATTTCTATATCAGTTTTTTTGTGCATTCACAGGTTTAATATTGAAGGTTGTTTGCCAGCTTTGCCTGCACAGTCAGCCAAATCTGCTCAAATCACAGCTACAGTCTTGGAGCAGCAGATTAGCATAGATTAGCATTTTAACTCTTAATAAATAATACCCGACATAGCTTTCTAAATTCAAGCTTTAATTTCTACTTTTTGTGTCGTGAATACTGATTGTTTTACACCAATAAGTGTTATCTGAAAGTTGTTTTCCTTAAGACCTTGAAAGTGCAGCCTTTGCACATAAAAAAGCAGACAGAAAGAAACCAATAGATGTGTTCTTCTGAGGAGGCTTCAAAGCTCTGTCTTCTGACCCCAGTTTGATCACTCCTTCCCTCCATATGTCCTCCACATGCACCGACAGAACACACATCACTCTCATGCCATCACTCGGCGAGAGATCGTAGACACCATGAAACAGCCAACAGGCGTGTGTCAAAAGGAAACACACCGGTAATTAATAACACACACACACACACACACACACAGTGTACCCTTCCATGTTATCACTTTCCAAGCTGCATGGCACCACCTGCTTATCAGGACACTGTTTGATCACATTGTGATGTTATACTTGGCTAAGAAACACTGTCAGACACCAGCGTATGGTGCGTGTCCGGTATTATGATAAAGCAGACAGTATGGATTATGAGAGGATGTTCTGAACAGAATTTAACTTCACCCCCGCTGGGAAAAATGTCAATATGATCGTCCCATTGTTAGTCAATGTTATTTTAGGCTATCACACACTCTCTCACACACACACAGCCTGTTCCAGTTCACCGGCTCCATGCTTGACATCTCCCTGGAAAACTCCCCTCTCATTGTTTGCACGGCGCTGTGATCAATGTAGCGTCGGAGCAGAGCTGCCCACACTGCAAGTTCCCCAGACACTAACCAGACGCTAATGAAAACATCTGAAATCCTGCCAAAGCTATTGGGTAGCGCATACTGTACCTAATCACATGCTATTATTAACGCTTAAACGCACCCTGCTGATTGGGGTCGCTGTGGAAAACCTGAAACCTCCAACTGGGGGTCCGAAAACGTCCAGGTGTAGAGTTATGTTATTCTCCCCTACCCTCATTAGTCATTTCAACTCTGCAGCGTTTTTCTCTTGAAGCTAACAACATTCAGTTAAATGCAAAATACTTTCCTGAAAGTTTCTTGGCCAAACAAAAGAGCCATTTTCTAGCTAATTCCACAGCGGAGAGTTAGAGGAGGAACGTGCCTCGAGAGTAAAAAGGAATTACTTACTCATTACCTATGACTCATTGAAAAAGTAATTACATTGCTTCAGTAATTATTCACCAAGAGTTTCTCGACACGTGGGATTAAAGAACAAGACATGTAAGATCCAGAACTAGAGCTCTCAGTGTGCAGACATGGCTTTTTACATATGTGAAAATAAGGCATATATCCCCCCTAGTGATTCGGATCCGCTCCAAAATGTAATGGCTTCTTCTTTTGCGTATGCTATTCCACTACTCCACGTTTTATGAATTTTGAGCTAGTGTTTTTTTCGTTATTCTGTAATCCTTAAGCATTTCTGGCTGCCTCACCGCACCTCTAGTTCCTACATGTTGGCACTTTTCTATTCACTGAAGCCACAAAAACATTATCAGTGATTATCTCTTTCATTCTTCAGATAAAAGTGAAGTAAAACTATAAAAATACACTTCGTAAAACTAAATTAAACGTAGTATTTTGAAGATAAACATTACAACTTATTTCACTTTAGGCAACTAGAGTATTTGTTTAGGTAGTTAGGGAGAACATATTGTGGTTTGGGTCAAAATAACAGCATTTTTAAAGTGCTAGTACAGTAGGTGTAGCAGGCCCCTTCTGACCCATAGAAGCTAATATGAAGCTAATAACCATTGATAAAGCCCATTTAAGAGACCAATAACATGAACCAGCTCTCCATGAAACAAGAAAGGAACCTTATTATCAGAGTTCTGAAGGTCACCTGATCTGGTAATTCTCATTACTGTAACAAGTGACTTAATAATGCCCAACACCGCTCGGGGCGATACTCAACTTTTACATGCCTTACTTTGAAACTTCGTATTAGTAATTCACCCTGCTTCCCTTTCCAACGCTGTGCACCCAATTACTGTTTCTTCACCCAGGGGACTGCATGTATAATAGATGGCGTTTGTTTTAGCCCTCCAAAAAGAAAAAGCCCCCAACTGCATCACACCTTACATAAGAATAAAGGTCAGGCGTGTTCACGATGACGTGGGTTTCAAAAAGTATAGTGGTGTATGGCCCACAAATGAAACGTGAGCTTGTCTTGTCTTGTACTTCTTAAATATATCTGTAAACATATATTACACAGTAGTGTGCATGTGTTAATAAGCCCACTTTCAGTCAATTCAAGTTGAAAATATGTTCTACCAAATCTAAGTTGATAAAAAAAAGCCCTATAACTTATTTACACAACCTTGAAATACACCCGTCCTATTTCCTCTTATGATAAGCAATCTGAGGCTTCTGTTTTAAGGAATGAGCTGCTAACAAAATAAATGAAACCCTCTGGAAAGCTGTCATGAAGGCTGCTGCATCATTTACTTACATTTGATTGATTTTGCTAACTTATAACTTAACTTATGAGTTAAAGGTGGAGTAGGTAATTTTGGAGAAACCAGCTCGAGTGCGCTAGAATTTAAAAATACACAGCCGGAGAAAATCTGCCACTTTCTCACAGAGCCCCTCCTCCAACACACACGAACGCGCACATGACCAATGAGGGCACGAGATCAGTTTGTGCCCCGATGGAAGGCTGACAGGCAGGTAGGCCATCCAGTTACTTTAGCCGGGCCGGCTCAGATGATTGGTGGTGCTTTTTACAGCGCCACGGCTTCCACTGATGAGGTTTTTTTAATGGATTTTTTGTCAAAGCACTTCAGATATTCATTGCTATCGGGATGTTAAGAGTATTCCATGGAATATAACAACAAGTGTATCTCGAGCCGGTTTCTCAAACGTACCTACTGTACCCCACCTTTAATATGCATCACCTCTAGTGAGCGGCCCAGCCCTTCGAATACTTTCTGTATTTGGCCCTCGGTGAAAAAAAGTTTAGACACCCCTGCAAGTCTGGAATATCCCCTTAAATATAAGTAGGCTAGAACATCATGTATTCAGCTGTCATACTGTACCTGTTCCCTGTCTGCAGCTCTGCATGTTGATGGCAAAAACCAAGCCTGGCACATCAGCCACCTCCAGTGTTTTTGACAGTCTTATATCACAGCTTCTTTGTTAGGGAGCGATTGTTGTGTGGTTTATCCTGAGTTCACATTAAAGTGTATATTTGGTTGTTTTCCCTGTATCAAACTCTGCTATTCTTACTACTTCTTTACTGCAGATGAAACACCTGCTTCTCTCTGACCGAATCCTCTCTTCCCCCCTCCCCCTCTCTTCCCCCTCTTTCTCTGGGAGCTAATGCATTTGATATGCTACACAAATATGACCAGGATCCGTTGAATTTTCTGAATATTGGGTTGCAGATTAACGTGTTCAAAAGGGGGGTTCGTTTAGCATGAAACCCTTGAAATAACTGAAGGATAAGTTAGAAAAGAAAGTAGAAAGAAAGGGAGATCAAAGAAAACTATTACTGCTAAAAAGTGAGCAATGATTGAGAGTCAGAGCTAAACATTTCAGATGTGTGTATCTCACACTGCGCTGTGACTTTAATTCACCTTTGTTACAGTATCTTTGCTTTTAATGAGTGTTGTTGAAGTTGAGTGAATGTTTTATGTTTCTTAAGAGATAAGATAAGAAGTACTTTATTGATCCCAATTTGGGAAATGTTTGTGTTGCAGCAGGATAAAATACATGGCATTGTACAATAACAATTAAAAGACAACAAATAAACAAGAAAGTAGAAAATATATGTTGAATTTACAAATGAACAATAACAAGATATACAGTAAAGCAAGGTATTATATATACATAGGTATGTGACGGATGGAATATTGAACTGAATATATTAATGCATTTTTGTAAAGCACTTTGAATTGCCTTGTGTTGAAAGGTGCTATATAAATAAACGTGCCTTGCCTTTCTCCTCCAGATTACGGCACTATCAGGAAAGTGCTCTCTCCTCTCAATCAGTCCACCGGGAGCTGCCTATTGGAGGAGATTGAGCTGTTCCCTCCCAGGAAGAGACAGCCGATCCGCAGCCTGCTGATCCTGCACAGCCGCAGCGAGCTGTACGTGGGGGTCAGAGACCAGGTCATCAAGATCCCTCTCAAGAGATGCAGCTACCACAAGAGCAGAGAGTGAGTATATGAGCCTATTATGCAAAATCCACTTCTCCATGTCTCTTCTACATCAACATGTGTCCCCTCTTCTTCATGTCTCTTCTACATCAACATGTGTCCCCTCTTCTTCATGTCTCTTCTACATCAACATGTGTCCCCTCTTCTTCATGTCTCTTCTACATCAACATGTGTCCCCTCTTCTTCATGTCTCTTCTACATCAACATGTGTCCCCTCTTCTTCATGTCTCTTCTACATCAACATGTGTCCCCTCTTCTTCATGTCTCTTCTACATCAACATGTGTCCCCTCTTCTTCATGTCTCTTCTACATCAACATGTGTCCCCTCTTTTTCATGTCTCTTCTAAATCAACATGTGTCCCCTCTTCTTCATGTCTCTTCTACATCAACATGTGTCCCCTCTTCTCCATGTCTCTTCTACATCAACATGTGTCCCCTCTTCTTCATGTCTCTTCTACATCAGCATGTGTCTCCTCTTCTTCATGTCTCTTCTACATCAACATGTGTCCCCTCTTCTTCATGTCTCTTCTACATCAACATGTGTCCCCTCTTCTTCATGTCTCTTCTACATCAACATGTGTCCCCTCTTCTTCATGTCTCTTCTACATCAACATGTGTCCCCTCTTCTCCATGTCTCTTCTACATCAACATGTGTCCCCTCTTCTTCATGTCTCTTCTACATCAACATGTGTCCCCTCTTCTTCATGTCTCTTCTACATCAACATGTGTCCCCTCTTCTTCATGTCTCTTCTACATCAACATGTGTCCCCTCTTCTTCATGTCTTCTACATCAACATGTGTCCCCTCTTCTTCATGTCTCTTCTACATCAACATGTGTCCCCTCTTCTCCATGTCTCTTCTACATCAACATGTGTCCCCTCTTCTTCATGTCTCTTCTACATCAACATGTGTCCCCTCTTCTCCATGTCTCTTCTACATCAACATGTGTCCCCTCTTCTTCATGTCTCTTCTACATCAACACGTGCCCCCTCTTCTTCATGTCTCTTCTACATCAACATGTGTCCCCTCTTCTTCATGTCTCTTCTACATGTGTCCCTCTTCTTCATGTCTCTTCTACATCAACATGTGTCTCCTCTTTTTCATGTCTCTTCTAAATCAACATGTGTCCCCTCTTCTTCATGTCTTCTTCTACATCAACATGTGTCCCTCTTCTTCATGTCTCTTCTTCTACATCAACATGTGTCCCCCTCTTCTCCATGTCTCTTCTACATCAGCATGTGTTCTCCTCTTCTTCATGTCTCTTCTACATCAACATGTGTCCCCTCTTCTTCATGTCTCTTCTACATCAAACATGTGTCCCCCTCTTCTCCATGTCTCTTCTACATCAACATGTGTCCCCTCTTCTTCATGTCTCTTCTACATCAACATGTGTCCCCTCTCCTTCATGTCTCTTCTACAATCAACATGTGTCCCCTCTTCTTCATGTCTCTTCTACATCAACATGTGTCCCCTCTTCTTCATGTCTCTTCTACATCAACATGTGTCCCCTCTTCTTCATGTCTCTTCTACATCAACATGTGTCCCCTCTTCTCCATGTCTCTTCTGCATCAACATGTGTCCCCTCTTCTTCTTCATGTCTCTTCTACATCAACATGTGTCCCCTCTTCTTCATGTCTCTTCTACATCAACATGTGTCCCCTCTTCTTCTTCATGTCTCTTCTACATCAACATGTGTCCCCTCTTCTTCATGTCTCTTCTACATCAACATGTGTCCCCTCTTCTTCATGTCTCTTCTACATCAACATGAGTCCCCTCTTCTCCATGTCTCTTCTACATCAACATGTGTCCCCTCTTCTTCATGTCTCTTCTACATCAACATGTGTCCCCTCTTCTTCATGTCTCTTCTACATCAACATGTGTCCCCTCTTCTTCATGTCTCTTCTACATCAACATGTGTCCCCTCTTCTTCATGTCTCTTCTACATCAACATGTGTCCCCTCTTCTTCATGTCTCTTCTACATCAACATGTGTCCCCTCTTCTTCATGTCTCTTCTACATCAACATGTGTCCCCTCTTCTTCATGTCTCTTCTACATCAACATGTGTCCCCTCTTCTTCATGTCTCTTCTACATCAACATGTGCCCCCTCTTCTTCATGTCTCTTCTACATCAACATGTGTCCCCTCTGTGGAAAGAGACTCTGAAAGTTTCAGGAACAAAGTTTCTCTCTTTTTTTGATCCATTTCTATAAAAACCTGTCTGAAAATGAGCTGATCAGATTTTGGCCACTTTATGATGTCATAACGATGTTTTGTCTTGTGTAACCATTAGCCAATCAGCACCAAGGTAACCCCCCCCCCCCCATATCACCTGAATCTCCTCCTAGAGCACCATTGAGTTCTTTGTAACCAAATGTTTCTCAGAGGGGCGTGGGGAGGGGCTCCTTATTTTCATCTAAAGTAACAGACAGAGAATCAGCACTTTGGAAACAGGGCTGAAACAGAGGGGATTATGGGTAATGCTGCAATGATCTGTTTGGTGTTTCAGCCAATCAGAGACAGGTTCTGTATATATCTGAGACCTGTAATATATTGATGACTAACAGTATAATAGGGGACCTTTAATCTCAATGGAAACTGTCAGAAAATATGCACACAGAAAAACTTTCAAAGCTCCGTCTCTCCAGAAGATGCTGTTTATCTGAGAGAACCAGGCCTGTGTGTCGCTCAGATTTTAAACCCTGTAAATCAGCTTTTGTCTGAGCCACTCAAACTGCCCTCTGTCCGTCTGTCGGTACATTATCTTCCTCACACACACACACACAGTTCTGCTGCAGCTGTGTGTGTGTGGTCTAGCATTACTATACTTGTGGGGACCTAAATCTGTTTACACAGTCACGTGTGGGGACTGGCCTCCCTTATGGGGACAAATTGGAGGTCCCCATGAGGGGAATCATTAATTTTAGGGTGAAGACTTGGTTAGGTTTAGGATTAGGGTAAGGGTAAGGTTAAGGGTAAGGGTTAGGGTTAGGCAAGTGTTGGTTATGGTTAAGGTTAGGATAAGTCTCCAGGAAATGCATGTAAGTCAATGTAATGTCCCCTGAAGTGATGTATACATGGTATGTGTGTGTGTGTGTGCGTGTGCATGTGTGTGTGAGGCAGATATATTGTGTTTCTGTCGGTCTTGAAGACACCACGTCAAGGCATAAATATTATATAAAAAAGCCCGAGACAGAGGCCCGGGTGTGAAGTCTCACCACAAGATACGGATCACATCCGTCATCACACAGAGAGGACTCACACCTGCATTCCTTATCTCTCACACAAGGAGCTGTTATTGGCACTGACGAGTTAAGGCTTCATATTAAACCTGTGGCTCTGTGATATATGCTGCAGCCTGGGCACTTAATCACTAGATTCCCTTTTTAAAGAGAGTGCAAGAGAGTCAGATGAACTAAAAAGATAAAAGAAAGAAAAAACCAGTCATGCGTTACGTGCCGGGTCAGAGACTTCACTTTCTAGAAGGGTCATCATTTAACCCTTTAGATGCTAGTTTCCATTCTTCATGTCATATCAGGACAATAATTAATATCCTAGTGACTTCATGTCATGCCACAGTCTTGCAAGGGTTTGGTACTAGCTGCACAGACATTTTTTATTTATTTTTTGGATGTCTTTCGCACATATTTCCAGATGAGAATGGGTGATATTTGGGAAAAGGGACTCAGGGGTGGCTTAGGCCTCCAGTACATTGCATTTAGTGTCAACAAAGAGTAAAATAATGCTAGTATTCTGTGCTGCAGTGCAAACTTGGCAACTTGCATTATTTGCATCTCTTAAGGCAGGGGGGTCAAACTCAAACACACAGTGGACCAAAATAAAACAAATGGGTACTAGTGGAGGTCCGGACTGGTTCAATGTTTATTGCAGAACTTATTGAAATGAACTTATTGCACATATTAAACCTGGAACTAACAAAGCTTCAATTATTGCCTATAAAAACAACATTAAACATTAAATAATCAGCTGCATTCATTTCTTATGGCTCTATCATTTCTTATGAGTACATTTTCCCACAGGCCAACAACAGCTTCAACAAAACTATTCCCCTCAAAGAGAAAACCAAACATGCCCTGTTGTCCTGAGAGAGAAAAGGCAGAAGGAAACATCCATTGAGCTCAGTGTGCTGCTCTGTGATGCTAGCTCAGATACTGGGCATCTCATCTTGGGTGCAAGGTCATCAATGTTTGGGCTCAGGCTCTGAGCGGAGGAGACCCTCAGGATGGAGTGAAGGTGTGAGAGCAATATACCGGAGGGCCAGATCTAAGAGGAATTAGAAATTATCCTGCGGGCCGAAATGAAATCCACCAAGGGCCTGATTTGGCCCCCGGGCCTTGAGTTTGACACATGTGTCTTAAGGTATCAATTGTTCACCCCCCTAATTATCATGACACACAGGATTTGATTTGTGATTTTGGACATTTGGTAAGACAGTAATTCCCTACTGTCCTTACTGTAGTTTTCCAAGTAGGGTCTTGATTACATGCTTAATCCTACATTTTGAAGTGCCTTTTGCAACCATGTTTAAGGTGACGAGATGTGATCAGATGCTGTGAATCTTTGTATGCAAGAAAGTCATGCATCACGTTGTAAATCTGCATCAATAAAGTACAAAAACAGCTATAATGCATTTTAGCTACAGACACAACAGTCCAACACACACAGTGATCCACAGTATCTGCCACTGCATCATTTCTGAGAAGCAAACTTCAATTGGTCCTTTAACTTCTTTCAATTGTGCAGAACTAGCATTTCTTGTAACAGTGTTTTATCAATATACATATTTAATTTTAATTTCCTTTTGTTCTTTCCTCTGACCCTCTTTGTTTTGTCCAGTGGGAATAATGATGGAGAGTAGAGGCAGGGGGTTGTGGGGGATTTACATTTCGAATATACCGCACGCAACAACATAGGAAGATTACTTAGTAAACCACACCCTCAAAATAAAGGAATACCACCATGACAATACAGTGAGCTTTACTGGGTTCATTTCTTTGAGGTTTGAAACACTAGAAGGCTACCTCTCTGTTTGGCAGAGTGTCTCACTGACGGGTGGTATGCAGTCCTCTTGGCCCTGAAGCCCCCCTGTAAGACATGTCATCTTGTTCTTCCCTTTTCATTTTCTACTGCTGTCGTCACCCTGAATATCCTTCAATAAAGTCCAAAAACTCTTTGTTAGCCGCCCAGACGCTACGTCAGCCACCTTGTGTGTGCCTCACAGTGGTTCTGCATTTTCACATGCATGGGTGCATATGATCTTCTGTCCTTGCCTCATTGTTATGAAACCCACGGACAACTTTGGTTACATTTCACCAGGGGCACGTCAGGCTCTACTGATGCTCGTGGCTCAGAGATATGTCATTGTGCTGTCACCACAGACTCCTATTTGCATGAACAAAGTAACATGAGGCTTTTTATTGCACTCAATAAACCACCTGAAGCAGATACGGCAAAGACACATTTTCTCAGAAAATATCTGTTGCGCTGATAAGCTCCTCTCTGTCACTTGAGGAGCTCCTGACTTTAATTTGTTTTGCTCTCGCCTCTCGTTCTACACCTGCTCTCCTTTTTCATGTTTTTTATCATTTCTTCCAGCCTTTTCCTTCTTTGTGTCGACCCGGTGTTAGATTTAATGTCCTGTCTCGATGCGAGCTATCTGTATTCACATGTGAGCGGTTAATAAAAGCCCATTAAACGTTACTGTTCCTTGCAGAGCGTGTATCGGGGCCAGGGACCCGTACTGCGGCTGGGACCTTTTATTGAAGAAGTGCACCACGCTGGAGGAGAGTGTCCGGATGAGCCAATGGGAGCAGAGCATCTCAAAATGTCCTGTGAGTATCCCTCTGTACAAACCTCGCTGTACCTCGTACTGCCTTTGCTTTCTTTACTTTGAAACCTTCATAAAAAGCACCAGCTCTAGACTGAACTTAACTTTAAATAATTGGTTTGTAAAGGGAGTATTCAATCTTTCACCTCTGACTGCTCCCTCATTAGCAAAACGGCTCGTCCATTTATTTCAACGGACCACATTTCTGAGCAGTGTTCGGGGTGATTTAAGCATTTCACAGACATAATGTTCAGTTCTGTTGCCCTCCATGCCCTTTTATGTGGCTTCATGTTCAGAGGGATATTTGGCAGTCAGGCCACCGAGCTCCAGTGGCATCTGTCATCATCACTGTGGCAGAAACCTGGCTAACATCCTCACATGATTCCTGAAATACTGTAGGCTGCAACAGACATACATGCAGGCATTGTGCATTCACAGACACACTCATCATTGTTTTCCAGGTTACTATTGAATGCAATTGAACATCTTAATTGCGCAGGAGGCTAAAACCCCTTTCTGAGAATATTTATATTGAATACAGTCATAATAAATTCTGGAATTATGCTTATTCTGTCTCTTCTTATATATTTAATTTGACATGACATTGAAAACGTTAAATGTTTATATAGATATGGATTTTATCTATTATTGTATATGGAGCATTATATGTGATAGGAGGTGATAGGATGCGGATGTCTTCATCTTTAAGCTACCTGACCTTAAACTACTACTTTAAATGCATGATTTAAATAAACATAATTATTATTAGACATACTTTATTGTCATTTCAACAACAGAGTGTACTATTAAAACAAACGTTGTACTGGCTTACAGGAAAATATAAAAACTTGCTAAAATTGTACATATAGATAAATAATAGTGACGTGGTGCGTTTAAAATATAAAGACTTACTATACATATAAATAAAATAGACATACTATAAAGAAAACATGTCCCTAATATCCATATTTCCAACAGCTTGATAGCCATCATTCACTTTCCTTTAAAATGTTATTTCTTTGCACACATCGGACTGCAAACTTTTAGTTTTTATAGAAATCAATGCTTTTATTAATAAGCAATAGATGCTGGAACGTGGATTTCATTATGTTTGAACGTAACGCACTTTAACAATGTTTGCCCGTCTCTGCTAAGCTAACTTTCTCTAAATGAATACTTTAAATCCAGGATTTAATTAAAGATACTTTCCAGCCGCATTGTAGCCACCCATTTCTTAGTTTTAAAGTATGGTCACACACCACTGCCCACAGCAGTAATGCAATATGTATTTACTCACTTAACCTACCCAGATCCATTTAGCGCGAGCATGAATTAACTTTGGCAGTAATCACTTTGTATTCTGACGGAGATAAATGGCTTTACAATGAGGCTCGTGACCAAAATGAGAAAAGTGTCTGCTTGCAACAACTCGCTGCCAAGATGTGAAAACTGAAAAACAACACGTCGTCTTTTATCACAGTTAGTGTCTCACTCCCTATGAGTCCATTAACAGTTTCAAAAAAGGCTCATCCGGCTGCATTCCTCCTGCAAAGTGGAAGCATTGGAGCTGGAGGCCAGTCAGGTTTCACACTGAGGAGCGTCGTGTAGGGGATGAGCTTCTCAACGCCATCTGGCTCACACGTCTATATGGAAACAAATGAGTTGTTTTAGGGACGTTTCCTCAACTAAAATAGACATTTCCACTGTACCCCCTTTGAAACATTTCTCAGCCAAGTTCCCCCTGACCGATCCCGAACATTTTTGATCGAAAAAGCCTATATAAATAATTACAATATAGTGATGTTCCCTCAGTGTGTGATGTATTAACTCCTTCGTGGTATGCATTACAACAAACTAAGGATATTGTCATCTTCATGCATGAAAAAAATAACATAACACTTTTATAAAACAGGAGTTTTTCAATTTAAGTAATATGTTATTGTGAACAACTATAAAATACAATACACACATTTGACATGTTTATATGAGGACCCCCTTGGTGGTTCTAGGAACGTTTTATATAAAATTGTGTTTTCTATTTAAGTTATTTGACTAAGATTATTTTTTTAATTAACCTTTTCTTTTAATATAAATCTCACGTACCCCCTGCAGTACCCCAACGTACCCACAGGGGTCCGCGTACCCCCATTTGAGAATCACTGGTGTAGGGGATGAGCTTCTCAACGCCATCTGGCTCACACGTCTATATGGAAACAAGCAGAAATGAGTTGTTTTAGGGAAGTTTCCTCAACTAAAATAGACATTTCCACTCAATTATCTTTTTGTACTTTGCTTTAAAAGTCATTTCAATCAGCCCCCACTCTAAAAACATGATTTTACAGTATATAAAAATATAAAAAAAGAGACAGCTTTAGCAATTTCAGCCGGCTCCAAAGTGTTTTTATCGTCTTCTAGAATGACTTTATTATTCTGCTTCTGTTGCGTTTTCATTTTGGTTTCCAGATTTGAATGAAAGAAATGACACATGCTCTTCAGAAAGCGTGCATCTCATATTTATGATCCATTGTATTTATAGTCTGAGCTGTAATTGATTGCCCTACGATGTTGTTTTTCTCTTCCTAGTTGCTTTCTAGGCAGCCCACTGATGCAAAAGCTGTCTGTCTATGCCAAGCGTCCTCCATTTAGACACACAGCGGAGTACAATTACCAAAAAGCGCAAACGGGCCCGGCGCTTTGTCTGCTTCTGCCAGAGCAGCTGATGATCTCTCTTTTCTCCGCGTGTGAAAGTGTTTTCTGCCGTTTTAAATCACCCTGAAATGCAGCAGTGACACGCCTCATATCATCTGAATCTCACGCCGGCGTGTTTTTGTGTTTAGCTCGCTCGCGCAGGACATCTCTCCTGTAATTCATGGCTCCTGTAATATCTGAGCCTTCCCGTTTCATTCTGTTTTTCCTCAGATATCTATTTACACCGCCACTTTTATTTCCTCATATTTTGAATGTGTCCGTTCACAGCCTTCATTTGCCTTTGTGAATCTCTATTTCTGAGTCTCATCATGTCCTCACACAATTTTCATATATCTTCCAGCTTCCACCTTTTTGCTTTTCGCATAACTGCTCAATTCAGGATGTGCTGTGGAAGATGTAATGCTGTTATTTTTGCATCAGGGAAATGTATTTCTGTTTGTAGCCGTGGGCTCCCAGAGCGATGCATTCCTGAGAGCATCGGTCTAATGCAATAAGCAGTTTCTCAGAAAACCCATTACTCTCAAATGTTTTATTTCTGGCCCTTCTCGTTGCTAACAGGTCCGTAATGTGACGGTTGATGGAGGCTTTGGCGCCTGGTCAGGATGGTCCATGTGTAGTCATAACGATGGAGGAAGCGCGGGGTCCTGTTTGTGTCGAACCAGAGGCTGTAATAACCCGGCCCCTCAGTGTGGGGGTCAGCACTGCTTTGGCATCAGCGTGGAGGTCGCCAACTGCTCCAGGTACGACTTGTTGAGCTATGGAGGAATTATTGAACTGGTTTTAAAGGAACAGGCCCTAGACTCAACGTTTCAGGGGCCAATCTGGCCAAGATGTCACTCTAAAAGACTCGTACCGACCAGAAAGAGACTGAAAATGACATTAAAACACTTTAAATGTCTACAAAGAGACACGTTACAACCAGGAAGATATTTAAAATGACCAACATGAGACATCAAGAGACGTAGAATGATTATAATGACTATGACAAATTTAAAACCACTAAAAAAAGATTTAAAATATCCACAAAGAGATAGGAAATACCAAAAATGACACGAAATGACCACAAATTAACAAAAAAATGACAGACATAAATAATGATTAATACAATATTATAAACAATTAACGTTTATTTATTTATGTTAATCTGCAAAGTGTTAATTTTGTTCCATCTCTCTCCTGTGTCATGTACCTCGCATCAATTATTGAACTCATTTCCTGCTCCCTCACACCGACTCTGGAGAAGTTTGATGTATATTCAGTGTCAGTTATTTGGGGGTAAGAGGTGTTGATTGGATGCTGTTTTAACACTTCGTTATTGGACCTGAGAAGCTGCTCTGAATCTACCATGAACTTAAACAAAAGAACCAACATGTGAGTGGAGGATGAGGAGAAGCAAATCAGATTTATCGGCATTATTTATTTACTGATCAAGTGTCTTTTTTTATCAATATAGTCTGAGAGTAGTGACAGTGGCTTTTCCAATTAGACTCTTACAAATATTTCATTTAAATAGCAGGAAAAAAGGGATTTCACTCAAATTTAAACAAAGAAAACGCAGCTAATTGTTACATGAAAACGTTTCAAAGAAATGCTTTTCTTTACTCATCTTTTAAACCAATAATTGCCTTCTTTGAGGTCAAAACACGCGTTTATTAATCCCTTAAAATCCCTAAAGTTGGCATAACATACTGCCTCATTTGCATATTCAAACATAAAGTGGCAGAACACTTGTAAGGCAACAAATATTGAGTTTAATGCCAGTGATGAACATGGGAGCTTTCACTGTGATATCTATTAGTTTAATATTGTACCCTTTTTACCCAGAGGTGGGAAGTAGTGGAGTACAAGTACTTTGTTACTGTACTTAAGTACATTTTCCTGGTATCAGTACTTTACTCCACTACTTATTTTTCTGACGACTTTTTACTTTGACTTCTTACATTTCTAACAAATACCTGTACTTTCTACTTCTTACATGTTGAACACAAATACCTGTACTTTCTACTTCTTACATGTTGAACACAAATACCTGTACTTTCTACTTCTTACATGTTGAACACAAATACCTGTACTTTCTACTTCATACATGTTGAACACAAATACCTGTACTTTCTACTTCTTACATGTTGAACACAAATACCTGTACTTTCTACTTCTTACATGTTGAACTCAAATACCTGAACTTTCTACTTCTTACATGTTGAAATCAAATACCTGTACTTTCTACTTCTTACATGTTGAACTCAAATACCTGTACTTTCTACTTCTCACATGTTGAACTCAAATACCTGTACTTTCTACTTCTTACATGTTGAACACAAATACCTGTACTTTCTACTTCTTACATGTTGAACACAAATACCTGTACTTTCTACTTCTTACATGTTGAACTCAAATACCTGTACTTTCTACTTCTTACATGTTGAACTCAAATACCTGTACTTTCTACTTCTTACATGTTGAACTCAAATACCTGTACTTTCTACTTCTTACATGTTGAACTCAAATACCTGTACTTTCTACTTCTTACATGTTGAACACAAATACCTGTACTTTCTACTTCTTACATGTTGAAATCAAATACCTGTACTTTCTACTTCTTACATGTTGAACTCAAATACCTGAACTTTCTACTTCTTACATGTTGAAATCAAATACCTGTACTTTCTACTTCTTACATGTTAAACTCAAATACCTGTACTTTCTACTTCTTACATGTTGAACACCAATACCTGTACTTTCTACTTCTTACATGTTGAACTCAAATACCTGTACTTTCTACTTCTTACATGTTGAACACAAATACCTGTACTTTCTACTTCTTACATGTTGAACTCAAATACCTGTACTTTCTACTTCTTACATGTTGAACACCAATACCTGTACTTTCTACTTCTTACATGTTGAACACAAATACCTGTACTTTCTACTTCTTACATGTTGAACTCAAATACCTGTACTTTCTACTTCTTACATGTTGAACTCAAATACCTGTACTTTCTACTTCTTACATGTTGAACACAAATACCTGTACTTTCTACTTCTTACATGTTGAAATCAAATACCTGTACTTTCTACTTCTTACATGTTGAACTCAAATACCTGTACTTTCTACTTCTTACATGTTGAACACCAATACCTGTACTTTCTACTTCTTACATGTTGAACTCAAATACCTGTACTTTCTACTTCTTACATGTTGAACTCAAATACCTGTACTTTCTACTTCTTACATGTTGAACACAAATACCTGTACTTTTTACTTCTTACATGTTGAACACAAATACCTGTACTTTCTACTTCATACCAGGGTTTCCGTTAGCCGGTAATTACCGGTTTTTAGCTGGTAAAATTTATTAAAAACCGGTAAATTCAAAACCTGCCGGTCAAAATGTCTGGTAATAATTAGGGAGGCTCCGATCGATCGGCCACCGGTCATTATCGGCCGATATTCACTCTTAATAGTTTGATCGGTGCTCTATATAAAGAACGATCAGGAGAGCTGGATCTGATCGATATGGACATAAACGCGAGTGAAGTATAACCAGACACGCGAGAGAGATCAGATCAGCTGCTGAGTCTGACCGAGACACGCAGCTCTGCATAATCACCTGAAGCCCCGCCCACTGTTTAGCGAGCTGCAGGAGCTGCATGAGAAACTGACGGGCTGTCAGGAGAGAGAGGGAGGGAGAGGGGAAAAGAGATGATCCGTTTCTCCCGTGTTATTATTCAAAGTTAATGTAAACTTTTGAATAATGTACGTTATCTAGGCTACTACAAGTAGTTTGTTTGAATGTAATAATTATGTTGTTTGTTGTTGGTGGAATCATTTATTGAAAAATGGATCTGAATTGTTCGATCTGTTACGATTATAGACTGAAGCAATATAAAAATGAGCCCCGTGAACTGAGTTTTAAACTGAAGCATATCTGCTCATAGTCCGGTAATTACCTGCTAATGGAAACTCTGCAACACAACTCTTACTATTATTATTGAAATATGACCGGTAAGTTTCAAATTTGTCCGGTAAAATAAATTCTGCCCGGACATTTGACCGGCGAGAAAAAATCCTAGCGGAAACCCTGCTTCATACATGTTGAACACAAATACCTGTACTTTCTACTTCTTACATGTTGAACACAAATACCTGTACTTTCTACTTCTTACATGTTGAACACAAATACCTGAACTTTCCACTTCTTACATGTTGAACTCAAATACCTGTACTTTCTACTTCTTACATGTTGAACTCAAATACCTGTACTTTCTACTTCTTACATGTTGAACTCAAATACCTGTACTTTCTACTTCTTACATGTTGAACACAAATACCTGTACTTTCTACTTCTTACATGTTGAACTCAAATACCTGTACTTTCTACTTCTTACATTTTGAACACAAATACCTGTACTTTCTACTTCTCACATGTTGAACACAAATACCTGTACTTTCTACTTCTCACATGTTGAACTCAAATACCTGTACTTTCTACTTCTTACATGTTGAACCCAAATACCTGTACTTTCTACTTCTTACATGTTGAACTCAAATACCTGTACTTTCTACTTCTTACATTTTGAACACAAATACCTGTACTTTCTACTTCTCACATGTTGAACACAAATACCTGTACTTTCTACTTCTTACATGTTGAACTCAAATACCTGTACTTTCTACTTCTTACATGTTGAACCCAAATACCTGTACTTTCTACTTCTTACATGTTGAACTCAAATACCTGTACTTTCTACTTCTTACATGTTGAACCCAAATACCTGTACTTTCTACTTCTTACATGTTGAACCCAAATACCTGTACTTTCTACTTCTTACATGTTGAACACAAATACCTGTACTTTCTACTTCTCACATGTTGAACTCAAATACCTGTACTTTCTACTTCTCACATGTTGAACTCAAATACCTGTACTTTCTACTTCTTACATGTTGAACCCAAATACCTGTACTTTCTACTTCTTACATGTTGAACACAAATACCTGTACTTTCTACTTCTTACATGTTGAACTCAAATACCTGTACTTTCTACTTCTCACATGTTGAACTCAAATACCTGTACTTTCTACTTCTCACATGTTGAACTCAAATACCTGTACTTTCTACTTCTTACATGTTGAACCCAAATACCTGTACTTTCTACTTCTTACATGTTGAACTCAAATACCTGTACTTTCTACTTCTCACATGTTGAACTCAAATACTTGTACTTTCTACTTCTCTCATTCTCCAAACAGCTGGTTCCTTTAGTCTGAATGTGTGTTTGATGCGTGATCATTATTCTTTAGAGTCATTGCGTGCCTATTGATTTGAACACGATCCGTGTATCCATCATTTCCTGGTCTTCTCTAAAGAAGAGGGACCAATGGAAACGTTGTCATGTTGCCGTTGTTCAGCATGGAAACATTCATTAGCTAACAATGACATTATTGTTCTATTAATATAAAGGGAGGTCAGGTACTCTTTAAAACAGCTGCTAGTTATGGGTACTTTTTACTGAAGTACATTTCAAAGCCTCTTTACTTTTACTTGAGTAAAGAAGTTTAGTCAATACTTCTACTTTTACCAGAGTATTTTAAACACGAGTATCTGTACTTCTACTTGAATAAAGGATGTGTGTACTTTTGCCATCTCTGTATTTACCTCTAATGTCTCGTTAATATCTATAAATTGCTCTGCGTCTCCATAGAAACGGGGCGTGGACCCCCTGGACTTCCTGGTCTCCGTGCAGCACCACCTGTGGGATCGGTTTCCAGGTCCGCCAGCGATCCTGCAGCAACCCCACCCCCCGCCACGGAGGACGAGTGTGTGTGGGCCAGAACCGCGAAGAGAGGTATTTCACACACACACACACACACACACACACACACACACACACACACACACACACACACATACACACTGTTGGGAAAATACTGAATGTCCTCCTCCAACATGAGAGTACTGTAACTTGATAACAAAGGTATCAACTGTAGCTGTGTTCATGACAGGATGTGTGATTACCTAGAAGAGCATCAGGACTGTTTGAGGCATATGATAGCTCTGTGATGAACATGATGATTCAGCCTCTATGGAGAGAGACATCAAGCATGCTCATTTCTGACGTGGAGCTAATCTGAAGTAAACATTGAATACTGCTTTCTATTCCTCCATCTTGTGACTGTGTAACTCCCTCTCTTGGATATCAGCATGTGAAGGACACTGCTCAGGAACTAGTTGATGCTCTGTATGTGATGACTCCTTCCATTCTGGAGAGGATCACAGACACATGGATCCTGAGATTGAAGCTCAAGTGACACACACATATTAACACACACACATACATTAACACACACACACACACATGGCTTGACCGAAGCAAATGTGTTTGTGTGCATGTTATAAAAAGGCGAAAGCAATTTTCTTGTGTAATTTGCAACCTGCAGTCATGACTTTCGCTGTGACTTTCTCTTCATTTTGTTTTCAAAACGTTGACAGCCAATTAAGGAGAGAGTGGAATAGGCCTGCTCGGGTAATTATCTGGCTTTCACACACAGGCCCGAGTCTGCGTCTCTGAAGCTTTGGCCGAACAGTAATCGCCCTTTAAAGATGCTGTTTGTTCCGTCTCTAAGCAACCTTCAAGGCCTGAAAAAAATCTGTTTTACAAGGAGAAAGTATGTGAGGAAACACATAGACACTCCCTTTCTTCATCTCAAACTTCACCTCAGTGTTTGCTAAAAAGCAGACTGAGGAACGCTGACATCTGTGGTGTCTGAAATGAAAGATACAATTCATTTATATCCAAATATAGACTGCTTTAATGAATTAACTGAGTCAATCCTCATCTGGGTAACCAAGTGAGGCATCCTGCTGATGCTTTCATCCCTCTCCTGCTGTTAACCAGAGGTGGAGGCAGAAAAAGTGCAAATAAATACAGTTCACAGTGCACAGGGAGGCGAGAGAGGAGAAATAAATTGTAGCCAAGGCAACAGAAACAGTATTGCGACGGATCAGTAATTGGAAACGGCCTTGGAGGATGAACCTTACCTCCAACCGCACTTTTTCATTTTCTTTACCCTCACACACTTTCCTCTCTCTTGATGCTCCTTGTGGATGAAATATGTGGAGTAACCAGCACAGTGCAGAAAATATGCTGGTTGGCTCTTAAGACTGCGGGAGGTCCTTTCTTTAATCGCTTTCGTTTCATCTCGCCTTCCCGCTTTCACTACTGCTCTGTTCAGCTATTTAGAACACCTTAGGCCAGTTAGGGGCCAGCTGTGAGGTGTGTGTGTGTGTGTGTGTGTGTGTGTGTGTGTGTGTGGTGTGCGTGTGTGTGTGTGTGTGTGTGTGTGTGTGTGTGTGTGTGTGTGTGTGTGTGTGTGTGTGTGTGTGTGTGTGGTGTGTGTGTGTGTGTGTGTGTGTGTGTGTGTGTGTGTGTGTGTGTGTGTGTGTGTGTGTGGGTGTGTGTGTGGGTGTGGGTGTGGGTGTGGGTGTGTGTGTGTGGGTGTGGGTGTGTGTCAGATGGACAGTAAGGCAGAGAGAATGTGCTAACAGATGAAATATGCTGTGTCAGCTTGACTCTGCCTGAGGGAGAAATGGATAGGGGATGCTAACAAAATGTGTGTGTGTGTGTGTTCAATATCCAGGTGTGTGAGGTATGTTTATGACCAATATTGCAAAAAAAAGAGGAAAACTTCTTCTTGAATTTTCTACGCTGTGTCCAAAAACTCCCGGCACATCTGTTGTTTATAGCTGCCCATGTATCAAATAGGTCTTCTGTACGAGCTTAAATCTGCACAGCGTGAAAAGGAGCGACTCTTCATCAGATCCTGAGCTCTCAGACATATTCTTAATGCCTTGAAACGCTTTTATGTGACGGTGCTCAGGCTTCCTCTCAGAGGCGTCTGCAACAAGCCTCACTCTGTTCTTCACATGAAGCCCTGAGGAACCTGTTTGGATTAATGCACAGGACTTATGTTCAAACACGCATTGAACTGTATAACATGAACAAGGACTCCAGGATACTCTGCAACTTCTACAGGTAGAGGATCATAGAGAGTATCCTGACTGGCTGCATCAAATCAAATCAAATCAAGTTTTATTTATACAACAGCACAGATTGTTCAGAATATCAGTATGAGAAAAACGACACCCTCTGTCCTTAGACCCTCTGTTCTTAGACCCTCTGTCCTTAGACCTTCTGTCCTTAGACCCTCTGTCCTTAGACCCTCTGTCCTTAGACCAGTGGTTCTCAAAGTGGGGGGCGCGCCCCCCCAGGGGGGCGCAGAGGCATGACAGGGGGGGGCGCGAGAGACCAGGAGGAAAAAAAGTTAAAATAAAAAAATCATATTTTGAAAATAATAATAATATGATACAGTACTATTACGTCTGGGTCTCTGTGTTTCATTAAAGCTCGGCTCTGTGTGTGTGTGTGGAATGAGCCATGTTGTGTGCGTGCGCGAGCGAGAGAGAGAGATAGCGCACCAGTACCGGAGATCGTTGATGTTAGCTTCTGGTGCTAGCGAGCTACGCTAACGGATATAAGGAGTTTTTTTAACAACAAAGTGGAGGAGAGTCCTCTCCTGTCAGACTGAGAGACTCAGTGAGCTAAAGGACTCTCAGTGTTATCTCAGTGGGTCTCAAACGTTTTGGTCACCATTAATGTAAACAATTATTTCCGAGGCACACGTTTATATGATCATTATAGTTATACAAAAATAAGAGAATAAATTAAAAACAGGTATGAAATACTATATGACATTAAAAAATGAATAAAGTTTAAAAGGGGAGTGATTTGTAAAATATCCATAAAGAAATAGTAAATCTGTTTACAGTTCTGTGTTGAGAGAGGTATCCATAGATCTCTTCATGTTGCTCTCAAAGTGCACCAGATTGATGCTTTTAACTTCAATATTTAAAAATCTTCCCGGAGGAGCTTGCCCCCGGACCCCCCTATGTGAGGTCCACACACCACCTATAAAAATAGCACTTTACCCATGCTTACACACCTATATGCCGTGAGCTGATTATCGAGCCTTCATGGTAACAGTCGCGGGTACACTGTGTATTTGCGTGGGGAGTGTTGCAGTAGAACATTCCACTGTAGCGCCCGGTACATTAATGGGAAACCCTAAATGTTTGAGCACCCTCTATGAAACGTCAAGCTACCCCACAGCACCCCCAAAATAAATCTCTGGCGCCGCCACTGAGCCTGACTATTTGTGTTGGGGGGCCCGACTTTTTTTTTTTCTCCAAAGGGGGGGCCTGACAGAAAAAGTTTGAGAACCACTGCCTTAGACCCTCTGTCCTTAGACCCTCACATCGTACAAGGAAACACTTCCAGAGAAAACCCACAGTTTAAAGGGAACATGGGAGAAACCTCAGGGAGAGCAACAGAGGAGGGATCCCTCTCCCAGGACGGACAGACGTGCAATAGATGCCGTGTGTAAATTCAAGAGATAATACATTTTACAGCATATAGACCGAATGTTAGGAAATGCATGTGTCTGTAATAAGAAGATGAATCCACGAGGATGTCAGCTACAATCCTGTGGGAGCCATCAGGGAATCAGGCATCGCGGCCTGGTACGGCAGCTGCACCGCCCTCAATCGTAAGGCTTTACAGAGGCTGGTGAAAACTGCACAGAACATCACCAGGACGGAGCTGCCATCCATGGAGGACCTTTACTCCCAGCGGCTCAGGAAGAAAGCCCTCAGGATTATCAAAGACCCCCATCACCCCATGCCTCAAACTGTTCTGTCTGCTGGCGTCTGGCATCCGGACAAAAACCACCAGATTCAGAGACAGTTTCATCCCACAGGCAATAAGACTGAAAACAACTGAAACAATTTCATAACATCCATCTGCTACTTAGTAATTATTTATCTATTATCTAATATATCATTCCAATAACTTGTATATAGACTCGTATTGCACTATTCCACTTTTTGTATTACTTTTAAGTATATTTTAATATTGTCTGCTTATCTGTATTATTGTGTTGCATTGTTGGAGAAGCCTGTGACCTAAGATCTTCAACGACATTACTCTGTAGCTATGTTAGTTTGACAATAAAGATCCTTGAACCTTGAATAACGCAAGGCAAGTTTGTTTAAGATCAGCACATGTCTTCAGCGCAGCAGTTACAAAAGCACAAAGATAACATTTTAATACAATTTAAAACTGTCAAAAGCCATAAGAATACAATTTAAAAACATAACAGAAATGTAAGAATATAAGTAACATTGCAGTGTAAGGTGTGCATAGATGTTACTGTTGTACTATTCAATCCTATGGTTCATAAATAATTTGCTAAACTCTAAAAGTCAGACCAGGATTAGTTCTTAATGCTTTTACCAACGTAAGTTTAAACGTGTCTGAATTGTATTTAACAAACACATTAGGATCATTCTCTTTAATGTAACTTATAAAGAAAGAAAATTGGGGTTCATTCAAAGGAGCCGACTCTAACACAATGTTCCCAGTTCCTAATACTTCAACAGCTTCCGTAAGCGGACCACTATTATTATTTTAAGATAAAGCAAATGTTTTGTAAGCGGCCGTGCACGACAGCGCTGTAGGCTTAAATCTGGCGGCTTAATGCGTTCATTTGTGAACCTTCTGTTGGCTTTTCCCTCAGCATCGTCCACTCTGCTGACTCAGCCTGAAGCGAGTAATTAGGAGCGTTTTAGTCTCATCAGCTCTGGGTGTCTTTAGAGTCAACTCAAAACGGATAAGGAGGAGAAAATCTGTGATTAAAATGTGTGTGAGGATGATTTGGAAATCCGCTTCACATTGATCGCAGCAGTTTTCATTGTTCTGTGTTGTGGTGCAACGAGGGTATTGTGTGTGTGTGTGTGTTTTGCTGCTAAGGCTTGTGCAAGATTGTAATCCACACACTCTTACTTCTCCACTCTCCTCTTTCCCCGCTGTATTATCCCGCTACTAGCTTGCAGATTAGTGAAAGTGGGGAAAGCACACACGGCTCGGAGGGTTTTTACACCCAGCGTAAACAGCATGTAGCTTTTGATTTCTGTCATGAACAATAGCAGAGTATTTGGGAGCAGAACAATGGAAATGGAGCCTCTGGAGGAAGGGTGTAAAGTTTAAGCTATTTGAGCACGAGAAGACTCCAAAGACTCTCATGTGCCAAAACACAGCAAAACAGCAATAAAAGCAATGTTATAGTATGCATAGAAGTTGTAAAATAAATGATATGGCTCTAATAAAGCTGGCAGTCCGCTGTCGTTATTGTCTAAGGAGGACTAAGTAATTAAGTATTTTAGATTTTGCAGTAACCCTGTCTTGTAAAACGATGTAATTAGAGATGATGCATGCGTCTATGTGGCTTTTTTAATAGGCTGCATCAATGAATTATGCAATATGCATATGCACATTCATTAACATTTGGAATGGGATTTTCTTAGATGTACTTTTTATGCCACAGTGGTCATTATGCTGGGCTCAGAAAACACCACAGGCTGGTTCATGTGCAGGACTCAGTCAGATGTGCACGAGGCCACATCAAACAGATATGTTGAGGTTTTTTAGGAGTAAAGTTGACATGCCTTTGCAGACATCCTTGTCTTGTGGTATGAACTCTTTGTAGCTATTTGCAGTCAGAGGCGGGCTTTCAAAAGTGTGGTGATGTCTGCAGTGCCCTTCACATTTAATTTGAGTCCTCTGTAAGATAAAGCAGCTGTTTCCCAGAGAGCACTGAGATCCAGTTATACAAACATGAAGTCAAATGTGGCACTGAAACGTATGTTATAGCAACTAATCTCAGCTGTGACTAAAATACACAAATAATAACTTAAAGATTCACTTGTTTCCATTTTTTATAATAACAATGGATGAAAACAGATGCCAGTTTATCGTAAACTCTTAACCACCATATTTAGATTGTATATCCAGGTTTTGAACCAAGGAAAACCCATCAAAAATAGCTGATATAATATGTTCCCATTGCCAAATGATCAGTATGCCTTTCTGTTTTTATCTCTGGAGTTGACGGCATTAAGGCAGTGTTTGTAATCAGTGGAAATGTTTTGTTGGTTAGTTCTTTTTTTATATCTGTTTATTATTCAGTCTTTCTTTTTGAAACTCCAAACAAGAATTGGTGATTGTTGAAACAAGACTAAAAAACACAGATTTGAATCAGAGTTTGTGTTTTGTGATTATCAGTGAGGCAAACTTGCTGTTTCTATTAATGGAGGCTGGTGGCTTTGGGGAGATGATATTGATTGTATGTTTCAAACATTAATATATTAATATAATTGTATAAATCCCTGTAGATGTTGTTGATTATATGTTAAATTGTCGCCAATTATAACCTTTCCCACTTACACTTCCTGCATTTTGTCCCTTGCACTATTTTCCCTCCTTTTTTTGACCTTCAGTATGTTGTACTTTTGGAAGAGCCTGGGACTTTATCATTTAATTGTAAACAGCTAAGTTGTAGCTATTGTATATGGCAATAAAGCTTTAGAATTTGAAGACATAAGTCACATGTTAGTGGGTTTTTTCCAGCGGGAGAAGGGGCTTTTTCAATACAAAGTTCCTTAATGATCTGTTCTCCTCTCCTTCCTTCAGGTACTGTAACGAACACCTGCCCTGCCCCACCCATGTCTACTGGTCGGCCTGGTCTGCGTGGGACCGCTGCACCCAGCCCTGCGGCGGAGGCATCCAATCACGACGCAGGACCTGTGAGAACGGAGACGAGTGTCCCGGGTGTGGTCAGGTATGTCACGAAAACCCACAAAAACCCCCTCACACGCACCCAATCTCATCCGCCGTCACCCTCCCTCATTGTTCAGGAACTCAGCCGCAGACATTTGATGCGACGAGCGCTGATGAAATGCAACATCTAACACGACCAAATCCCCCGGCTATATTTACTCAGTGGCCACAGCCATCAGATTTATTATTACCGAGACATATTTAATGCCACACACACAGTAATCACTCACATATGAATAGGCTTATTTCTGCACAAAAGCTGCCTGGATGATGCAAGGAAGTGTTGAAATACGAGCGCTCTTCTTCATGACAGAATTATGTGATGCCCGGGTTATTTCTGGTGCCATTTTCACACATCTGCAACCCTGATAAAAATATAGCGAGAATGAACCTGATAGCTGCTGCTGCTTCTTGGGTCTCTCTGAAAAAGGATTAAGGAATATGGGTCAGGGTCTTATGGATGCACAGATCCCTGAAGTGTGTTTTTGTTGGTTTGTCTGCAGTCTTTCTTCACAATTTCTGGCAGAGAATTAGATTTTTGGATGCTGTAAAGAAAATGATGATCCTTAATCCTAGCTCTTTTAATTGTGTGGTTCAGATGTAAGGCCTGTTCCCCAGAATACATCCAATACATGGGTAGATAACTGCATTTTCAGAAAGATATATTCCTTAACGTGTTAAACCTCACGGACCCGAAAATGCTACATCTGCTAGCAACTGTGTTATCTCTGAAGTGTTATTTATGAAGCTATTAATGGTCCATGCCCACCTGACGGGAAGAAACTCAGCTAACTGACTATACGAAAAAACACACAATTCAAATCCATGACAATAATTAGGTCTTACCTGGCTGTGTTGTTTTGTGTAAAAAGATTAGCAGTCCGTGGGTTCAGCTGCCGGACATGCAGTTTACGCATAGCTTCCCCCTCCCCTATCGCAATTTACATCCGTAGAAAACCCGAAGTGATACAAATACACGGCTGATGGGAAATCAACATCAATAAATACATATCTAGACCTTAGAAAATACTTATAGCAAGCCCTACATCAATGTAAACATGCATACATTACATTCATTAGGTCCTTATAAATAGATCCTATAGGCCCTGAGCACTCAAATATGCCTACAGTATGTAGCATGTTTTATTTGTAGATGAGCCCTACATAACATATACAATAACTTGATATAATATATTCAGCACCATCCACAATACTAAATACAATATATACATTTATAAGACGTTAGGTCCTCAACAAATCATGCAATTTGTTCGAAATAATTCAGTTAAATGCTGAACAGGTATTCAAACAACGACATTTAGCTAAGATATTGCCTCCACAGGTTGTGTAATGGATCATTGTGCAGCTAAATAACACACCGCCTGCTTTATGGAGCATCCCACACATGGTCCTGCAACCTCAGGAGGATATATACTATCTGATAATTACCCACGACACATTAGTAGCTGCTGAGCACCCAAATAAAAAGACTATCCTCCCATTAGGTAGCAATTGAACAGTCGCACCTATCATCCGCTCCTCTCACTCACACACACACACACACACACACACACACACACACACACACACACCGGATGCCAGCTGTCGTATTTCTGTCATTGCGCCGCAACCATTTTCCTCACAGAGGCATCCTGGGAATGCGTCCCGGATTCAGGAAAGGAAACTGATGATGAGCACGAGGGAATCTCAGAGGCTCGTCTCCAAAAGGGAACGTCAGGGTATTTCTGATGTGTGAGGAGGAGAGAGACTCAGTGAGCAGGAGATGGTAAAGATAGTTTTTACTGGTGTTTAGTGGGAGTTTGATTACAGACAGTTACATTCACTTACTTTTTGTTTAGCTTTGTTTCTTCGTCTAGCTCTTGTCCTCCTTCACTGAGACATGGACTTAATTGGGGCCACCAGAGTTGTAATTACATGCAGAAACCTTCAATTTGGAGAGCACTTTATTTGGACAGCTTTGGCTAACTTGTATTAAAGCTGCACGCATACTCCGATCAAAGACACATTTGCATCCTTTTGATATAGTTGATTTAACTCTGATAAGGTGTTAATTGCACAGAGTTTAACAATTGCTTCTGTGCAATTAAAGTCCTTTAGATGTAAAGATCAAGTGTAAATACCACCTGTCTCTCCCCAATTATAAAATAGATATGTTAATTCATTACAACACTTAAAGATGAAGGAATGTGTGGATACGTCCCTTTAGAATCTAAAGTTTAGATTCATCAAAGATCGGTATTCCCAAAAAAGTGTGATGGAGTTGTTTTTTTAGCCGTCCGTCTGTCTTCTCTTCCCCCGGACAGATCCATGTTTAATTAAACAGAAGGAGACCACACACACACACACACACACACACACACACACACACACACACACACACACACACACACACACACACACACACACACACACACACACACACACATAAATATACAAGTTGCAGCTTCTGTCATCACAGCAACTTTTTTAGACCAGACCCCCCCCACTGAGAGCTGGCGAGATACACGCTGTGTGTGTGTGTGTGTGTGTGTGTGTGTGTGTGTGTGTGTGTGTGTGTGTGTGTTGTGTGTGTGTGTGTGTGTGTGGTGTGTGTGTGTGTGTGTGTGTGTGTGTGTGTGTGTGTTGTGTGTGTTGTGTGTGTGTGTGTGTGTTTGTGTGTGTGGTTGTGTAGTTGTGTGTGTGTGTGTGTGTGTGTGTGTGTTGTGTGTGTGTGTGTGTGTGTGACAGGAACACGGGCTCACCAGCCAACTTGCACAGAATACTACAGCATCGATATATCACGGAGCTCCCCTCCTATCAATCGGCAAGACACAGTTCTGCACACATGCAGCCAGAGGAGGAAAAAAGGAGACCCCACTGCAGTCTTCCTCCGGTCCTATATGGAGGCCCTGATTAGGGATTAGGAACACCTGGGGGGAGGCTGCACCTGGGGGGAGGCTGCACCTGGGGGGAGGCTGCACCTGGGGAGAGGCTGCACCTGGGGGGAGGCTGCACCTGGGGAGTCAGAGGGAGAGAGAGAAAAACACACACACGACCACACAAACACTACGGTGTGTGTGTGTGTGTGTGTGTGTGTGTGTGTGTGTGTGTGTGTGTGTGTGTGTGTGTGTGTGTGTGTGTGTGTGTGTGTGTGTGTGTGTGTGTGTGTGTGTGTGTGTGTGTGTGTGTGTGTGTGTGTGTGTGTGTGTGTGTGTGTGTGTGTGTGTGTGTGTGTGTGTGTGTGTGTGTGTGTGTGTGTGTGTGTGTGTGTGTGTGTGTGTGTGTGTGTGTACCTTTCAGGATTAGTATCTCTGCAGCCACCTGATCAGATCCCGGAGTTTGGCAGACATGATTCGTCGGCAATAAGCGAAACATCTGCTTGGTGTTTTTTTTAGAGGGATGTCAAGCAGTGAAAATTATAACTTTTGGAACTTATTTTGAAGAGTATCTCAGATGGATTCAAGTCAACACTTTCCGACCTGCTGTTAAGTGAATCAGTGAGCAAAAAATCCTCTCAGGGTTTTGGATTCTTTATTGATCCCTGAAGCAAAATCTACCCAGCTTATATCCCCCTGAGCTCTCAGCAGAGTAACATACAGAACAGCTCAAGTGGAGCTTGTAGGGATTCAGGTCAAGGACAATGTGACGATTTATAAAAGAAAACATACTTTGTAGTGCTTGTGCGCATACATCTGGAGTGCTAACTAAAGCTAAAAGTGTCCCAGACATCTATAAGGAGAATGAAGTTTATTTTTATAGCACATTTCACCGCAAGGCAATTCAAGTGCAAGGCATCAAAAACACATTATCAACAGTCGTTAAAAAGCCAGTAGAATACAAAAGGTAAACAAGAAGACAAAGCCATTTTAGATATGATATAAGGCAGTGGAAAAACAGAGACTATTAGAAACCCAAATACAACTAGTAACCTTAAAGTTTGGATTATATCTTCAAACAAAAGTTACATGTTAGTTAGTTACATGTTACATGTTAGACGCTTTTATCCAAAACGACTTATATACTAAATACTGTGGACAATCCCCACAGGAACAATTTGGGGTGAAGTGTATCAGGGACACAACGACATGCTGACTGCAGCGGGGTTTGAACCTGTGACCCTCTGATCCGAACACCTACGGACAACCCACTACGCCACACGCCTCTCTAAAAAGTGTCTCTAATACTCACTGTGCAACCCTGATTCCTTAAAAGCAACACGCTAGTTGCTTTATTTGCATTAAACCTGCCCTTAGTGTCATTGGCCTGAGCCTCAGCAGTCTTATCATCATGCTGGTATTTAGTCCTCTCCGCCTCTTTTTGCTGATGCAAAAGGCCACACGACTGCAACTTCATCAGTCTGTTCCCCGAGCACCTCCTCCTCTCTCCCGTTTCACTGTATCTGCATTACAGGTCTGACTCCCACAGGAGACACAAATCTGGGCTGGAAATAAACAAGCCAGGCTCTGCTGGCCCGGCGGGGAAGAACTGAACCACCATGCAGCGTTCACTCCTCTGCTAAAATAGAAAATTGTTAGAACAATCCACTCGTCCCCGGCTTGAGCTTCAATCTCAGGATCCATGTATCTGTGATCAAAATTCTGACTCTCTCAAACATCTAAAAAATTCTGAATTTTTCTCAAAATCTCAAAATTCTGACTTTTTCCTCAAAAACTTGACTTTTTCTAAAATATCTGACTTTTTCTCAAAATCTCAAAATTATGACTTTTTCTGAATACTTAAAAATGTTAATAATCCCTGATCACCGGCTTGAGCTTCAACATCAGGATCCATGTATCTGTGATCCTCTCCAGAATGGAAGGAGTCATCACATACAGAGCATCAACTAGTTCCTGAACAGTGTCCTTCACATGCTGATATCCAAGAGAGGGAGTTACACAGTCACAAGATGGAGGAATAGAAAGCAGTATTCAATGTTCACTTCAGATTAGCTCCACGTCAGAAATGAGCATGCTTGATGTCTCTCTCCATAGAGGCTGAATC